AATAAAGTCAGTACTAATGTCCGGAGTGCGACGTTGGTCTACGCCCAGCACCTTGTTTCAAGAATTACCGCATTAACTCCTGCTGCAAGGTAGATGAATCAAAATGTTTGTACCCTTGTATAACTTTATATATTCTTAACTTCTAAATGAAAATAATATTTAAAAAGTCATTCCTTCCGTTATTTTCCGGGTTCTATCCCATGAGCGAAACGCAGCTCTGAGGCGCATGGAACCTCTATCGGAGAGAGTGCATCTCATCGTACAGACACAGGTCAGATATCAAGTGTGTGCCGTATCTTTTTGCAGAGCTGCAGGGTTCTTCCATGATCTAGTCTCAACCTTGTACAAGGCAAATTGGATGCTAATGATGTCCAATGTGCTTCTTTCGCAATTTCCGAAAACTAGTTTATTTCTGAGTTTTTCTAACATGAATAACCTATAAAATAATATGAAATCGTTGTAGCACACATACCCAGCAATTTAAATTTAGTATATCTACGTAGTGCATAACTCCGTACTCGGTAGAAAATCAATCAATTTCACTAATGTATCGAGACGAGCATGCGGAAGAGTTGTGGCACAGGCTTGGAGATAATGAATTGGAAGCCAAGCAACAAGGGTGACGTGGTCAGGCGTGAGCATCGGTTGAGTGAGAGTTCATCACACTGCCGTGAAGACGTTCCTCGTGGGTTCATCTTCTCCACCGCCTCGTATGTGCGTGCTTCTTCACTTTGTTCAGGACCGTTTCTCCTAATTTTCATGTCCACTCTTTTAGAAAATTATTGCGAATCCCGCTAGCTCGCTCTGTTAAGACTAGGTATAAACTCGATGCTGTGGCCTAGCGAATACCCTCGGTTTACGACCCTACACACTGTCAACTGCAATGATGAAACATGCAGGTTGACGATAAGCCTATGTCATCTCTTTCCCTTGTCATGTCGATAGGCCTACGTCCCGGAACTGACAATACTCTGGATGTGCCTGCAATTTACTCGGGTTTCTGTCTCCTCTCCTTGAAATGAAACTTTGTACATGTTAACCTCCGCCCTCAGTACTCATCCCTTTTTATGATACTCATTATTTATCAATGCATTAATAGATTATTAATGTATTCATCAACTAAGTTTAACATTGTAGTGCCTCATCTAACTCGGTTTTCATGCAACATTACCATAATGTCAGCTCATGGTAAATTATTTTCCATATGTCAATCTTATGCAGTTGGGCACGAAAATTGAATAAAAATTCCATAGACCCATGAATACCTCGCACTTTTAAATGTGCGGGACCTGCGAATTCTTATGAAAATGACGTTCGAAAGAAAGGAATGGGGATGTCCATTGAGTCATAAATAATTGCTACCACTGAACAAGAGGAAAATTCGGAGAACTTGTAAATCAAATTGAAATAATCAAAACACTTTCCTTTAATATGCAATATTAGGATTAACAATATACCACCTGAAAGCCAATTTCTCAAAGGTTATTTTAAAAAATTAACATTGTTTCATTTCATTTCAACAGACCATTAGGAAGGGAAGAGAAAGGTGGGGAAAATATTAGAGTAGAAAAGGATGAGATTCCTGCAACTCTCTTTTCAACATCTCAGGAGGAGTAAACAGTATATTTCCTCCTTCACTTCTTTTGTAAAAGGGCGGAAGACCCCGTTCTTCATAATACGACACGAGCGGCATGGCACCCTTTATGGCACAGTTATAGCCAGGGTCCCTCTATTCGACGGCCTACTGAAGGCCGTTTATGCGTTGGCCCCTGGGTAGTACAGAGCTGTTGGACCGCTCGCTACGTTTCGGGAGGATAGTTGACGGTCCATCGAAGACGAAAGTGGCGGCATGACACAATTTATGTCACACTTACCGTCAGTGGCCCATTCATCAACAGGCCTATGATGACCCTGTTCTGCGCCCCTTTCCATGTCTTCATCTTGATGTCGTAAATTTTGTCATTAAAAAATTCCAGCACCTGAAATTAATTCCATAAAAGTACTCTCAAAATCCAATTTTGGACCAAATCTCAAAGCCTTTCATGGAATAAATTATCTATATGAAGATGGTTCCAATATCGAAGTCATCCACCTTGAAAAACGAGAATACATAATAATTGCGCATTAGTGTTAAAACATACTTAATTTTTTTCATTTCAAACATTCCTGAAATGTTTCAGTTTAACTCAAAAGGTTAAATGTGTGAATCTTGGGGAGAAAAGACTGAAGTTGGGATAATTATTAACCTGTGCAAGTCTCACAAACTTGTCAAGGTTAAAATGTTTCTATTAAATCTCTACATCTGAAGATCTCCCAAGTTTTGCAGCCCGAAAATTTAGTGTCACAAACTTGAAATTTTGATATTGGAATTAAGCATCAATGAAACATATTGCACAAATGAAGAAAAAATGCATTTTCAAATTGAATAAATATTAATACAATTTCCATCAGCAAAAATGGTTTTAAAAATAGCTTTGAGGAAGCTCTGGGGTTCCTTTAGGAATGGCGACTAGAATGTATTTGATGGCGCAGAACTATTAGGGAGGCCTTTCATTCTCATGAAATTGACATGGTCGGACGCGAGAAAAACGTTAAAACGTCTTTCTGTTAGAATCCCCAAAAGAGATCCACGATCTCAAGGGTGAAGCATTGGAAGGCCGTGTGCCATCGCATGAAATAAGGCGTTGGTGGATGAATTATATTCCTTCCGGACGTGACGACGTGAGTAAGGCCTCTCGCGAAAGCCGACTAAACTCCAGGAACATCAAAGAAGAACCCCACGAGAAGACTCGAAGTATGCAAAAAATGGGAGCAAGAGGGAATAAAGTTAGTACTAATGTTCGGAGTGCGACGTTGGTCTACGCCCAGCACCTTGTTTCAAGAAGTACTGCAAGGTAGATGAATCAAAATGTTTGTACCCAAGTATAACTTGAAATATTCTTAACTTCTAAATGAAAATAATATTTTAAAAGTCATTCCCTCCGTTCTTTACCGGGTTCTATCCCATGAGCGAAACGCAGCTCTGAGACGCATGGAACCTCTATCGGAGAGAATGCATCTCATCGTACAGACATAGGTCAGATATCAAGTGTGTGCCGTATCTTTTTGCAGGGCTGCAGGCTTCTTCCGTAATCTAGTCTCAACCCTGTACAAGGCAAAATGGATGCTAATGATGCCCAAGGTGCTTTCACAATTTCCGAAAACTAGTTTATTTCTAAGTTTTTCTAACATGAATAACCTATAAAATAGTATGGAATCGTTGTAGCACACATACCCGGCAATATAAATTTAGTATATCTCCGAAGTGCATAACTCCGTACTCAGTAGAAAGTCAATCAATTTCACTAATGTATCGAGACGAGCATGCGGAAGAGTTGTGGCACAGGCTTGGAGATAATGAATTGGAAGCCAAGCAACAAGGGTGACGTGGTCAGGCGTGAGCATCGGTTGAGTGAGAGTTGAGTGAGAGTTCATCACACTGCCGTGAAGACGTTCCTCGTGGGTTCATCTTCTCCACCGCCTCGTATGTGCGTGCTTCTTCACTTTGTTCAGGACCGTTTCTCCTAATTTTCATGTCCACTCTTTTGGAAAATTATTGCGAATCCCGCTAGCTCGCTCTGTTAAGACTAGGTATAAACTCGATGCTGTGGCCTAGCGAATACCCTCGGTTTACGACCTTACACACTGTCAACTGCAATGATGAAACATGCAGGTTGACGATAAGCCTATGTCATCTCTTTCCCTGGTCATGTCGATAGGCCTACGTCCCGGAACCGACAATACTCTGGATGTGCCTGCAATTTACTTGGGTTTCTGTCTCCTCTCCTTGAAATGAAACTTTGTACATGTTAACCTCCGCGATCAGTACTCATCCCTTTTTATGATACTCATTATTTATCGATGCATTAATAGATTATGAATGTATTCATCAACTAAGTTTAACATTGTAGTGCCTCATCTAACTCGGTTTTCATGCAACATTACCATAATGTCAGCTCACGGTAAATTATTTTCCATATGTCAATCTTATGCGGTTTGGCATGAAAATTGAATAAAAATTACATAGACCCATGAATACTAGCGTGAAAATTTACACGCCCTGGACGCTTAAGAATACTTTTACTGCAAGCTTTCTTTCCTTACCCCTACAGGTAACTCAGTATTTATTAACGATGGTGACTTGTTCTCCTTTTAAGCCTCTTGAACGAAATATTTATATCAAGTCTTTACAAATGGCATTACCAAGATTACGTTTCTTTCCCATTACATTTTCCGAGTCAAATTTTACCGCCTGTTAATTCCCTGATAATGGTAACTAGGTCAGTCATGAATTCCGAACGTGATTCATCGTTTCCCCCATTGTTTCATAAGCTTCTGACGTAAGCAGTCATAGAAAGTGTCTTCCACTGCAAAATTTCAGATTGTCGGCTCATCCTTCTAAGTATTTCCTCCTCAGGATTTCCTCCCCAGCATTTCCTCCTCCGGGATCGCGTTTCAGGATGTCTTCCATCGTCGACCTTGGAGATAGGGAATAGAGTCTCCATGATGGCCCTTTACTGTTCCATGCCTTCATGAGATTCCATACGAATGCATTCACATTCGTTAAGACAACCTATCTGCAATGCTTCATTTAAAATTACTTATGACGCCAAACCAGCTTAACGCCAAATACAAATACTATATATGAAGACATTTACGTGGTTCCTTTTGTTCTTGTCTGAAATATTCAATACTAAAATATTATTTATCCTAAAAACCAACTTTAGTTGATTTTTATAGCTATTTCTATAAATTGGTTTATATGGTTTTTAGAAATTGGTTCGCCTGCCACAAGAAATAGCTTTCCCCAAATGGGGACGTCTAATCCAAGGACTACTTATGTTGATTTGTTTATCGTGATTCATAAAATAATCCTTCCCCTCGAACAGGTTTCGTCATCATCTTCACCTGAATCCAAAGAGAGATTTTCACCATCGCGAATGGCGTTTTGCCTTCCTGTCATGGTGGATTTCAAGATAACAATGCCACCATTCTCCTTCTTCTTCTCACCTTACCTCTTCTTGGTGGTCAGTGCATCTAAGCCAATATGTCCAGCTCGAAGCATATTGCATTGCAATTGCAATGATGATTTTAGCATGGATTATTATGATGGCAAAGTGCAAGTGGATTGTTCCAGAGCTGGGTCGGATGAGGATATAGCGGTATCGTTGAAGAATGTATCGTGGCCCTCAACTGAAATCTGGTGAGAGAAAGATTTCTACTCTCAAATTGTGTTACATGTTTTCATTTTAAAAAGGGAGCATACAAAATTATAGTCAGGATTTTCGACTGACTCGAAAAAAATTGATGTGTCGAATCCAAAAGGTTTTGTACAAATGTAATATACTCCTGCAACTGCAAGCAATTGTCTATATTGAGAACTGAGCAATCGTATAACTAATTGTTAATTTGCTTTAAATATTGATTTGTTAGTCACTTGCATTTTGACATCTAGTCACTTGTTACGAATATCCCTTATGGGCTCTTCGCGTCAACGTTATGGTTTACATGAAAAAATATACCTTGACGATGCTGAGAACAAGCATAACCCTGCATTCCTTAAAGATCATTATGTAGTGAGGTAAACGTTGATCTGTTGGACTAGAAAGGGAAAAAAGCTTGATTAATGACGGTAACCACCCGAAGACGCTCATGGGGTGAACTATTACCCGACGAGGCCAAGGAGATAGTATTGCGTTGCACACAGCCATATGGGAATGATGTAACCCATGCGTGAGGGAGTACCATATCCAGCTTCGGATAACATTATATTCATTCTCTCTGTTTCCTTTCAAGATAAATTGTCAACGACTCATTCCCATAAATAATAATTTGGACCTTAATCCTCTAGCATAACCCATGAACGTGATAGCTGAAGAGTTCCTTGGCAACCATCATGATCCAAGCTAATAATGTTTTCCTCTTTTTAATTTTTGCAGGCAATTCAAGATTTACAATAACACGAGAGCTGTGAAGCTCCCTGTTGGAATTCTAGGGGACCTAACCCTGCAGTCCGTATGGATAAGCAAAACTGCTGTGACAAGGCTGGATCCGTCGGTAATCCTCCCTTCCGCGGATCGTCTTGTGAACTTTACTCTGAAGGACAGTCGCCTGGAAGAGTTTCCTTTCCATATCACCCCAAGATTACGGAGTCTCAAGAATCTCTGGCTCCGGAACAATTTATTGACCTCAGTTCCTGGCCTCCACAGCGACTCCCTCGAGATATTAGACTTAGAATACAATAGGATTGCTGCAGTTGAGGAAGACAAATGGGTTACTCCAAATTTGCGGGGACTCAACATCGGTAAGAATTGGGGCATCTGCTACAATGCGATGAACCCTGAATGCATTCCTTGCCATCTCCCATATTCTCCTTGAATACTACAAGACAACGATAATTTCAGAGTATATGAAGATATATGAAGTTACAAAGTAGGTGTGGGAAAATTTGACTGCAAGGTGTAACAAATTTAAGATAGTTATGAACGCAATGAAGTTTTCAAAACCATGATGCCACAGTAAGAAACTGTCGTCAATGAAACGAAGCCATTTAAAGGGCTTTAGAGCCCTCTTGTCAAGGCTTCTCTTTCAAATTTACCTATAAAAGCATAAGCATAACTGCGCACACGTTTGGAGCCCATCGCCATTCCGCGAAATTGGAGGAGTTGCGAATTTAACAGATGGTGAGAAGATCTATTATGGTAGTAGTTGGGGTGAAAGAGGTTCATTCAGGTTTGTTCAGGAAGTGAGTAAATGCATTCATGCCATCGTCATGAGGAATTTATGCATGAAGTCATTGGTCGTTGACAGCGGCCACAGCAAGGTTGGGTGGTAGCTTGTCAAGCTCCAGTCGGTAACGGAAGTTGCTAGAGTCGTGGAGATAGGATAGTAAAAGATAGACAAAAGGGTTACACTGTAAAAAATATAGGTCCTAGAGACAAACCTTTATACAGGGTATCCCATATATCTCTGACACTTTTATTTTTCTAACAATAATTAATCAAGAATGTTAACTCTTGGAGTTACCAGGATCTGAAGACTTTGACTGGGAAGATGATCAATTCTACGATCTGAGACATTCATATGATCACTCCCACGTATAAATATTAAGCAAAGATTGTGAGAAAAAATTGTTATAGGGATCATAAAACCAAGATTCTTGCCGAGCCCAATCCTTAATGGTTCTAGA